AGAGGGGTATCAAATTCCTGTTCAGCTCCCCGGCTTCAGAGCAGGATAGCTAGGTGTGGGGGTGAAGGGCAGGTTGCCAGGGGAGGGGGGAAGACAAGGCCAGGGGCCCTAGCAGCGGAAGCTGACCCACTGATGCGCCCTTCACCTTCTTCACTCTCCTCCCCAGAGAGACAAAATGCTTTGACGGCCTGGGTGATCAGTGGGGCTGTCTGGTTGGCTGAACCGCCTCGTGTCAAACCAGTGCATTTCAACAAAAGGGCAGTGCTCTAAGGAAGGGGCAAGGGCTGCCAGCACAGAAACCATCACCCCCTTTTAGAAAGCACCTCATTTTTAAAGGACCACCAGGGCACTGGTTTACTCAAGTGCAGTGGTGCATGGGGCTGCAGGGGATGGCACTGTGTGTGTCTGTGTGTGTGAGAGTGTGTGTGAGCATGCGTGCTAGGGTACTCACACGCAGACCTAGGATGGGGCGCTCAGGGATGGCAGCTGCTTCATTCTCTCTTTGAAATCTTTCTGAGTGACCCTTGTGGTCTTCCAGAAAGAAGAGGCCAGAAACACGGCTCAATTTTCTTTTCTGTCAGGCCAACAGGTCATCAGATCAACAAAACATAGGCTGCTCACCCTTTTCTACTGCCTGAGGAAGGCTAACAGACACGGGGATTGCACAAAGCAGAAGTGGAGTGGCCCATTCAGGCAGTGGACAGAAGAGTGGTAGTAGCTTAATCTTCATGGGCTTTGGACTCTACAAGTATCTGGGCTAGAGTACCATTAAATTTTTAATTCATTCTGCCCATAACCCTGATATTTGCAGCTTTGGGGAGACCTATGTTCTTGGGAGTTACGGTGATCTTTGCTGTCCAAAGGGCAACTCAGAAAGGTATGAGGTCCTGAAAAAGCAGCCCTGGCCTCTTTCCACTCTGTGCTCTAAAGCATCCCTTTCAGAAGCAGCACCTGGAGGAGAACTTTTTGTTCTTGAGCTGGGGTGGTGGTAAGACAGAGTGAAAACAAAGCACTGATTGTTTCTTTCCACCTGTTGTAAGTCTATGTAAACAGGTGGCTTGGGGTCTGAGAGGACACAAGAACAAATAATTTCCATCTCTGCTGTGATTCCTTTCTGACAGTGCACAGGGAAGCTGCATTTTATGAAAGTGCCAGAAGCTTTGCCAGAATCTGGTGTTTGGCCTTTTCATCACTCACCTCCATTTATTCTTTGCTCCTTGGTTCATTCTAGTTCTCTCCACATCCACCAACTCCAGCAGCCCCTCACCTCAGGAAGCTAAGTGGAACTGTTCCAGAGCATTCTCTCCTTCCCATCCAGCCAAACAACACAGTTGAGGGTGATTTAAAATGAATTATAACCTTGGGTGTTCTATTGACCTCATGCACAGATCCGTCATGCACTTCGCGGTTGCCCTGTCCTTCTTTTTGAAAAAGTAATCTGGGTTTCCCAGGTCTAAGGATCTCAACCACTATTCTTCCCTGACATTTAGGTTCATGTTTTAAAAAGGCCCAAGTGAGGTCTGGGGATTTCCAGACTGATGGATTTATCTGGGAGAGAAGGAGGGGGGAACTTGAAAGTGTTGCCCCAAATTTGGTTCTTAGGTAGAGCCCCATGCACTTAGTAACCTTCCAGTGAGAGGACGCTCTCCCTGTAGCCTTCAGTTCGCCTGCATCTGGGTCTTTTCTTGTAGCTTTACCTAAGAAACTCTTAAATCTATTACATTAATAGCTCAATCCTCAGCATTAAGCCCTATACTACATTTCCCACCTCTGGGGGAATAAAAAGGTGAGCCACAACAAACCTAAAATTGTTTGGAGCATGGCCTAAGCTCCCCTGGAGTGAAGGTAGTCTGGTCCTGAAACCATAAATTCTATAAAAAAGGAAGAAATCACTTCCTGTAGAGGAAGGCCTGATGGGGAGCACTGTCGAGCAACAGTAAGGAGATGTCTGCACCTTTTTTGCCAATCTGCACCTCCCTCAAGAAGATCCTCTGTTCTTTAGCAGAGAGCCATGCAGCCACTTCCTAGAGAGAGAAGAGTGGAGCAAAAGGCCTGTTTTTCTAATTAATCAATTAGAACAATAGAAGACTCATTGGAAATGTTAAGGGGTGCATGATGTGATTTCTGTGTATGAGTTGTCAAAGAATTACCTCCAGAGCATTGTTCACTTCTAGACCCTCAACATTATCCTGCCCCATTTCTTCCCATCTATGCAGACCTGTTCACAATGGAACATAGTATTTTTTTTCTCTCTTGCCTCTGTCTGCATGATCCCTTTGGCACTGTCTTAAGTGGTAGCTGCGACCTTCAAATGCATGTCATTTCCTGGAGGGAGAAGGTCTTACATTTCTTAATTTCCCATAACCTAACACAGCACTTTATACACAGTAGGGGCTGGTCAACATTCTAACGGAGGTGTATTCTCCGTGACATTTCTTAGCCACTATGACACTGGTATGATGAGCAAAACAACTCTGACCAAGGAAATCTGATCTAAAGTGGTGTCATGCACAGAATGTTAGTTAATTAAGGATCAATAGCTATGAGGTCAAGTTCAGGAACTTTCTGCCATGTAAGCTAATTGGAATTTGAAGCAGATAGGAAGAATACAAAAATGCTGCCCTTCCCCCAAATGAAAAGAATTGAGAACAAAGCTTAAAAGTATGGAAGCAGGCAAATGAGGACAGGAGCTACAACAGGCACTAGGTTGCCAGGGGTGGGTGAGCCTTCCTTGGTTATCATGGCTACCATCTTTGGGAAGACACAGAAGGAATTACAAGCAAAATTCAAAATTAGGAGTTTGTCTATGAAACATGGATTTGTAGGGTGAGTACTTCTGAGAGCCCAAGAGTCTACATTTGAGCTGCAACCACTGTTTACTAGACATATGACCTTGGGCAAACCAAATAGGAATTTACTGAGTACCTGTTGCATTATTGATAATGGAAAATGATGTGTGCTTCAGCTCCTTCATGAGAGTGTTGGAAGAGTCAAATCATATCAACATTTGCTTTGTAAAGCATTTTATTTCAGTGTAGATGAGTTATTTTTAATCCCAGGTACCCTTTTCCCTAACCTGCCATTCTCTTCAGCTTCTTCCCATCCCATCTTAGCGGTACTGATTCATCTCTCTCCCAGGAACTTCTGTTCTCCCCTCCCTTTCTTTTATCCATTTTTTAAAATCAGTCATTTACATTTTAGAGCAACTGAAGTGTTGTCACCTCCTGAGGGGGTTGCTGGTGTCCAAGGCAAGCTAAGAGGCATTTGTGAGAGGGCCTTCCTGAGTACCTTTGAAACCCTACTATGATTTGTCTAGTGCAACCACGTGTTAGATGGGCCCTTTTCTAGAGCTACCATATTTCATCAATTTCAGGGCATCTTATTTTGTTTTGTTTTTACAATTCAACAGCTCTGAAATCAGGATGTATTGTAGTCATTGGTGTTTTCTTTTTTTTAGTGGTTCATGAAATAATGGTTCCTCTCACAATCAAGGGTGTTACACAGATGAAATACAACACTGTTCTCATAGAGATAAAATGATCATAAATAGGATTCATTAGGGGTTAAGGAGGAAAATGAGGTAAGGCAGTGGTTGCTTTGGAATCAGGTCAGGACACAAAGAGACAGATTGCTTCATTTTCTTCCACCTTTCAACCCTCTAGCATTACCTGGATATTTGGATTCTGCCCATTTATATCAGCTTTGGAAAGATCTGGAAAGTTTGGTAGATCAAGGAGAAAGGATCTGGGGCCATCTCTTTGTAGGGAAGGGTGCCCAGCGTCTTGCCGGAATCGCTGTCTGGGGAAGGGTTGGTGTGCAGCCTGGTGGTCCAGATGCTCCCCTGGTGCTTCTTTGGAGAGAGAAAAGCTGGTTTCTGATGTAGAGTCAGTTTCCACGTGGAGGTTATTCTAAAACAAACAGACAAGCAAATGAATAAATGAATATGAGGCATATGATTTAAAAATACCAGCCTTAACAGTCCATTAAGTTCCTGGCTGGAATTAAACCAGGATGGCATTTCCAACTCATTTTCATTCCCCCTGGTTTATTTACTCCATCTTCAAAACGCCAAATCATCAAGAAACATTTCCCAGGCTGCTACCTGGGAATTTTCTGAGGGCTAATGAGTTATGGACTATATATTCCATTAAAGCACATCAACACAAAAGTGCTATTTTGAAGGAGAAGAGGTATTCATTCAGAACTGCAATCAAATTATGGTTTCTTTCTCACAGCTTCAATTAATTAACCACTCTGGAATTAGTTATAGCCCCAGTGTCCAGAGCTCATTTCGTCCGTGCAGGCCATGCAACAAAAGATCCGACCAAACTGGATAAAATACTTGAGTCAAATCATTGAATATATCCATCCATTGATCCATCCATCGATCCATCTCTCCACCCATCCACCTATGCGTTTCCCCATCCTATCCATCCATGCAACCATGTATCCATCCATCCAGTCAACAAGTGTCAACCACATGCTAGGCACAGGAGATAGAGCCATGAACAAGACATAGGCCCTATTCTTTTAATGTGTACAACTACTATGACAGATCAGATCAGAGGGTGGTGACTGGTAAGAAGGAAGAAGAACATGATAGTGGCCAGGGACAACATTCGATGAGTTTCTGGAGAAAACCTCCTTGGGAAGGTGAGACTTGAACACCTGCAACAATCTGGGGAAGAAACATTCTCAAAGAGGAAACAGTAAGACAGTCCTGAGCTGGGGATGAACTTGGCCCATGTGAGAGACAGAAAGAAGGCCAATGAGGCTGGTATGGAGTGAGGGAGGGAAGATGGCATGTGATGAGGAGGAAGAGATAGGGATAGAAAAAGAAAAGTGACAAGAAGGCATTTTGAAATTTAATGCCTTTATTCTGCAAAGAAAAGTGCAAGTCTGTTGTTTCTCTCAGCTAGTAAAAAAATGTCTCTATTTAGTTGTCTTTTGGGGGAAATTTTTCTAGTGATTGAAGGGTGTAAAAGTTGTTGGGCTTCTTTCCTAAACCAGCCCTTCTTCTCCTCTCATTCTCCCTGGACTTCTCACTGGAGGTTTCCTCCGTCCCGTCAGGGATGGCATTTTCATGTTTACTGGTGAAGGGAGATGTAGAGATAGAATTTCACCAGCGTTTGGGTCAGTGGTTAATGCTTTTGTTATTCTTGGGCATGTTCTGGGGTTTTGGAGTGTATATTCCAGCACACTGTCTCCACACGCACTCCCTGCCCCCACCGCAGTGCCTTTGACCCAGCCAAAGGGTTACATCTGGTATCAAAACACTCCTGACTCTGAGTACCAAAGGTCAAGAATGGCCAGGGGATGGAACACATGCAGCAGATAAATATCTTCTTAGAGAGCTAACCTGAGGGTATGGATTTTTCCTGTATCTCTTTAAACAGGAATGGGTCTGAGGAATAAACTTGCTGGTGCAGGGACCACCTTTGTCAATGTTCCAAGAGGCCAAGTGCAATTCTGAGACAGCCTGTCTTCTGTCTCCTTAAAACCTGCAGTTATAGAGTTACAGAGCGGGGAAGCTGGCTGCTCCTCATCATGTTTTTGCTTGCCCTCCCTTTTTGCTCAAGAAATGTGGCCAAGGGCTGTGTCTTTGTTCACCTTTCCAGCCACCTCTCTGCCATGGTTTTTGTCTCCTGGCACATCCTTGCAAAGGGAGTTGCCCTGGCATACCCAAGCATTGCTCAGTGCAATGAGGGCCAAATGTATTATGCTGAGACTGAGCCCAGCACATGGAGAGAGGGGTGGGGGAGGGGAGGGGAAGGGAGGGAAGAGGGGAGAGGGAGAGAGAGAGAGACAGACAGACAGACAGAGAGAGAGAGAGAGAGAAAAGCATGCTAAGTCTTCCCTCAATATGAGTTCTCTATCATTGTTCCCTTGCTCTTCTTCCGGGATCCCCAACCCTAAAACTTCTGCAACACTGTTAGGGAACACAGTTGGATTCTTATGGCGAATTTCTTGCAGCGGATTTGTGAGTATAAGTCTCAGAGGGGACCAAGATTTGCTTGCCAATTGCTTCCGGAATCACTTGAGAATCCAGCCCTAACTTCGTTGCAGTTACTGGGACATACTGCTTAACTGGGTTAAAAATGGAGCTCTCTTTCCTTAACTCTGTGATGAAGTACACTTTCTACTCCTAAAACTCACATTTTAGAGGAAGAGATAGGAAAGGCTGTTTGGCATTTTGCTTAGACGGCTGAAAAACCAAGGACTGAATCTGAATGGTTTCTTGCTCTGAGTCTGGAATTTTCTTGGTAGGCGATACACCACCACAGAGTGATCCTGGTTTAGCCACGAACCAAGAAACCCATTAAACATTCTATGGCTCAATGATCCTCCATGTAAAACAGTCCCATGCTGTCCCAGCAGGATGGTTAAGACAACTCAGTTGGGTTGTTGTCTACACATGAGAAAAAAAGAGAAGTTTAGAGTTAGGGCAATCGGCTGGCCAGCTCAGGCCACAAGCTCCTCTGCCGGGAATAGATTGGGGCTAGAGTATGTTTTGGCTTGAGTTCTGCACACAATTGTGGCATTTCTCCATCTTTTCTTGATCCCCCTGCCCACCCCCCAAACAAGTTCAGTGTTTGTAAAGCATTTGGAAGATTGTAAGTAATAAAGAAACACCAATCACAATCTCTGAATATCTGAATTATCCTTGTGTCTTTATCAAAACATATTTAACTGGAAACCTTGGCTCCCTGCAATGGGCAAGCTCCCAAATTTCCAGAAACTGGAAGCCCTGGGGAAGGTTGTCTTACAACACCTCCTATAAAATGAAACTCCACTCTATTCAATCAATAACAAGATTTGGGAGTAGCCATTATTTTGGAAATCTAGATTTTTGCATCTGGGGTGGGAGGCAGCAGACAGGATCTGCCAGCAGTGTAGGAGAAAGCCTTTTCTTCCTCTTGTCTTAGGAGCACACTGCACATCTTCCTTGCAGAGGCTCCACCAGAGGTCTGGGTTGATGGCCATCACTCCATCTATAACAATGAGCTCACCCACTGAGTGTCCCCTTAAGTTATTCTAGCAAAGTGAAGATTCTCAGGAAGGGTGGATCTCAAAATAAAGATGTTAAATAGTTTGTTTTACTCAGAAAAGCAAACACCTTTTTGTGAAGGTATTAGCTTGGGAAAGTCCAGGAACTGAGAAAGGAAAATGTCACCATACTTTCCAAGGTGCTGCGGGATTCATTTTGCCTAAACTCACATGACATGAAGAGGTCTGCTTAGTTTGAGAAAATATTTCTTTACCCACAATGTGTCTTTGAGCTGATCTTCAATCAGTGTTGCCGCTCCAATAGCATTGTTCTCTCTGAAACTGTAATTTAAGAGCTAGGATTACCAATAAAAAGAGGAACAGAAGAACTAATGCTATTATATGGTTCATACACATTCACTATTCAACAGCTGAGGCAGGTGATCTATAGCTGCCAAATTATATAGCTTCTGCTTGACATTCCTCAACTTTGTGCATAGCTCCTGTCCCTCTGTTATTTTATAACGATTCTTACCTAAAATAGAAAACAAAGTAATCATAAAATGTTAACACTGATAAAATAATAAAATGGGAGCCATGTATTTTGCCTCAGAGAGCAGTATTGTGGCAAATATTGCAATTTGCCTAATTCTATCTACCTATATCTATATCATCTATATCTATATCTATATATGTATCTATATATGTGTCTATATCTGTATTTATATCTATAAATATATGGGTTTTTTCAGTATTTGTTTCAGGCGGCAATGTTCCTGGATAAAACTACATTTCCCAGCATCCGCTAGAAGTAACTGTGTGATACAGTTCTACCCAATGAGGTGTAAGTGGAAGGTGCTGGATGAGACTGCTGAGTGGGAGGCAGTCAGTTTACCATTTGCTTTTCTCTCTTCTCCTTTCTCTTGCCTTGAATGTGGACACAAGTGCTTTGAGTAAAATGAGGCTGCTGGCAGGCATGAAGTCGAAGGCTAGTCTCTAAAGGTGGCTGAATGGGCTTTCAACAATAGCCAAGTTATGAAAAGAGCCTAAATGTCCATCAATGATGAATGGATAAAGAAGATGTGGTTTATATATACAATGGAACACTACTTGGCAATGAGAAAGAATGAGATCATGCCATTTGCAGCAATGTGGATGGAACTGGAAGGTAGTATGCTAAGTGAAATAAGTCAGTCGGAGAAGACAGATATCATATGTTTTCACTCACATGTGGAACTTGAGAAACTTAACAGAAGACCATGGTGGAAGGGAAGGGGAAAAAATAGTTATAAACAGAGAAGGAGGAAGGCAAACCACAAGAGATTCTTGGATACAGAGAACAAACTGAGGGTTGATAGGAGGTGGGGGAGAGGGGAAAATGGGTGATGGGCATTGATGAGGGCACTCGTTGGGATGAGCACTGGGTGTTATATGCGAGCGATGAACCACAGGAATCTACCCCCCAAAACCAAGACTACACTGTATACACTGTATGTTAGCCAATTTGACAATAAATTATATTAAAAAAAATAATAAAGGTGGCTGAATGGAAAGATAGGGGAGCCTGGGTCCCTGAAGGCATGGTAGAGCCATCATACCAGTCCTGGATTGGTGGCCTCTGAACTTCTTTTACCACTACCACGAGCATTAATGTTGACATTGACAATGCTGCAGCACCGGTAACAACGTTCCCTGTTGTGACTCTAATTTTAGAGCTGTGACTACCAATGAGAAGGGAACAGCCCAGTTCAGTTAAGTGACTCGAAGTTGGGCACTCTGTTCTGTGCAACTGAACACCATCCCCAGCTGATAGAGGTACTGACAGGGCATTTAGTGAGTCATCATGGTGAACTTCACAGTGGCAGCCAGGCTACTGATACCAGCTAACTTTCCTAATAGCCTATTCCAAATCTGCCATCCG